TAATGAGTCATTAAAAATGTGCGTTCATCATGGGTAAACCGATTTTTACTCACATTGGATTTGAATTTTATTTCATATTATACAGGTTTGTTAATTCTTTTTGTAGGCTTCAGCGATGGTAAAATATTGGCGTAAATTGAATGAAGGAGGAATTCTGGAAGAACCGTTAGCACGCTATTTGTGGAGAAATGAACTTAAATGTAGTGAAGATGATGACGACGTCGTTTTTAAAGACTTCATTGAACTTATGAAGGCGTTTGGACTTCTCTTTGAAAAGGTGTGGCCTATTGGTACTGGTACCTCCTTTTTTACTTTCGATCCCCACAAAATAAACGACTGTATATAATGTCGTAGGCCGTATATTTGAGGCTCTCAATTTTTAGCCCATTTGAAAATCCTGTTGTTTTAATTTTGTGATTGATATATTTTTGGGAAAGTGAATGAAGAGAATGAGGTTGTAGAAGTCGCGAGGAAACTAATTCACCCCTCCTCAGGATTGTTTTCTTTTCATCGTTTACAGATCAAGAAAGCAGCATCAGAAGATGGCCCTCGAGTATTTGTCGTTCCATCTCGAATGAAGACCAAAGATGATGATAGATTGGAAGTTAAGGAAGATGAGAAGCAGACAGTATCCATCTATGTAACGCCTAAAGACTTTCTTCCCGACGCCGTCTACGATATCTTGGTCGTAAGATTTGTGAGTTTGAGTCAAGAGAATGGTTGTTGTGATGACCCAAAGTTGTTTCAGAATCAGGCTCAAATTCTATTCGATGATAAGCATTACCTAAGACTAGGTCGAATATCAATTGATAATAAACGTTCTTTGAAGGTAAGTATGCCTTTTATTTTTGAAACGTATGCGTAGGCCTATATGTAGGCCAGTATGTTTTCATTATTATTCTGTTTATTTACTTTTTAATTATAGGGTCACCGTTGACGTTTTTTATGGATATTCCTCTTTTAAAACAAGTATCTTAACCGCTAAGCAACAGCTCCACTCCATGATTAAACAAAAAAAAATACACTATACAACTCAGTGTTTTGAATATTGTTTGTAATTAATTTTTTTTTTTCATTTTAAAGCTTGAAATATCACGGATGAAAGAGAGAGGCGCAGACGGCACAAACAAGTCAGCTTGCAAGCCGCATCCTGATGTCTGTAAGGAGGTAATGATGTCATTGACTGATCATTGGTGATCTGAGATTTTACTTAATTTAGATTTGATACCAAATGGCTAATTATATTATAATTGAATTTGAAATAAAACAATTGTATTACATTTTACAGGTTTTGCAGGTTTTAAAGCAACACCTAGGTGAGGTATATCCATCTAAGAGAGTTGTCGGTTATGCTCTGAAAATCCTTTGCTTAGTCTGTTCAAACACTGAGGAACCACACTTTCAAGAACTTGAGTACTGCTTAAAGAACGAGAATATGACTTGTGACAAAACTGGTGAACTTATAACGATGCCGGCAGCTAATGTACAAAAGCTATTTGCAGCTGGTATGTGTTTGGGCTATTGAAATAATAATTCATAAAATGATTAGATAATTTTGAATGGAGTAAATACCAATTTAGGTAGAGAAACGATTGTAAACACAATTAGAGAATTCAAGATTAAATAGTTTCCAAATTATTTTGTCATTTTACAGATTAGTCTGTTGTCAAAAAAGAAAATTTTCTCAGTTAATTTTATAATTAAATTAAATTTTATTTTATTGGTTCGGGCTATTTTTTGCATTGTATTTTCCTTCACAAAATTGACTACAGCAACTGTATTAAGTACACTGGTCTGCAACACAATTTTTATCAAGGATTTTAAATGTATGTGTAATAATTGTAACAAAACTTTTACATAACTATAATGTGAAACAAATAATTATTTATATAATTACAGGTATTCTACATAAACCCTCAGTTACGGATACGGCTCATCAATCCTCGGCTATGAATAAAGGTTGGTAGATACACTTACACTGTAAAACGTGTAAAGCAGGTGGACCTTGATGTCTTCCTACTTTATATGCAAACACATTAACCAACTGAACCAACTACAACAGAGGCTTGTAAAAATTTGAATCCGATTAGAAACGACTATTTTGTGTATGTGTGTAATTGAACTAGTTAACGCACTATGAAAAAAAAAATGAAAGTGAAACGGCTTTATCGTCAGAATTTGAAACTAGACCGGATTTTGAAATACAGTAGATACTTCTATACAACACTAGATTACATGTAAAGAAAATTTGAAGATACTGTATGGGGGAACCCCTAAAACATACATTAAATACAATGAATAAGAGCAAAGAGTATTGAATAGCAAGAGGTCCGACTTCCCTGATTTTGTATGCACGCAATGGAACATACTGCCACGTGATGGGGGCGCCCTATTAGATTTCGAATAGAGTTCGCTCGAAACTTTTAAGTTTTAAGGACACGCCCCTTCGTGGCACTACTTTTAAAAA